AAAAATAATATACGTGACATAATTTACGAAAGTCAGTTTAGATAGTAGGGCAGTTGATTATCTTCCAAGAATTGGCGTAGTGAGTGGTATGATAATCACTAAACTGGCTGGTGTAGAATAGCTCGTTAAAATAATATAAGGAATGGGATTGTATAGATTAGGTGGACTAACTCATGAAATGTCAACCGAAATTCCGAAATCCGTTTTCGTTTTGAATAAACTGATTAAGTAGATCTGTAAAACTACTCACCCTGCAGCATAATTCTATAATATTTCAGTTATCTCAGGAAGCCGGCTTTTGAATGAACTTCTTTTCGACTGCATGCAGAAGCCACACTCTGTAAAAAATGACTACTTACGTAGCATGAATATTTCTCATTGATTTTCGATGCCCCTTAAAGTCCAATTATATTTTATGAAAAAACATACATAACAATATTCATGCTTTTTGCTCATTCGGTAGAAAATTACGTCTTCTTTCAATCTTATACTCGAAAGAATGGTATAATTCGGTTTTCAAAACCTTTTCCAATTCCCGAATAATTTTGAACTCGACCTGCTGTTACACTTGCATTCAGGGTTCCCAAACTACAAGCCGTTTCATTTCCGCATGCGGAAAACCACACATTTCTCTACGTTATTAAGAGGAGACTATATGGGGTCGATAAAAGTTAGCAGTGAATTTGAGCCATATTGTTAACTTTATAAGCCATATTGTCAAATGCAAAGACATGATGATTTATAAATTGCCATTTCGCGGTATTAAAAAATCTCACAATTAAAAAGTTTTTTCAAACCGCATTATACCCTTCCTTTGGGCATAAAAACAGAAGAAGACGTTATTTTCTACCGAACGAGCAAAAGCGTGAATATTTCTATGCATGTTTCTATGAAATATAATTAAATTACTAAGGGCATCGAAAATCAATGCGGAAAATTCGTGCTACGTAAGTTTTCATTTTTTGCAGAGTATAGTTTTAGCATGCAGTCGGAAAGAATTCCATTCGAAAGCCGGCATCCTGATGTCTTTGAATTATTATAGAATTATGCTGCAGGATGAGTAGTTTTACAAACATACTTAATTAATCTTTTCGAAACGAAAACCTATTTCGGAATTTCGGTTGACGCTTCATGAGTTAGCCCACATACAGCGCGGATACAAGTCAGGTGACTGTATAGATGCCAAGCTTATGACTTCACTTTGGAAATGCTCTTTCTGTACAAAGGAGGTACATTCCTCCCATAAAAATTCGGAGTTCTTACTGGGACAGTGGATGTCGTGTAGTTTAAATTTAATGTTGGCGTGTCGGTAACTGTTTATTGTCATTAGCTGCTATTCTCGGGTTCTCTATTCGACTGCGCGAACACTCGGTTTCTGCATTTTTGGCTGAAAAATTGTAAAAAACGTTTATCCTCAAAGTCATCGCATATACAATTGTTTTTGTTTTGCAAATGTCGGTTCTACTCAAAAAAACTGAAAAACAACTTTATAGCAAACAAACATTTCCGACAACAGTTAACGTTGATGTCATCTTACTAGCATAAAAAACACTCATCTCTCAGTTTTACTCTCTAATAACACATTGATATTTCAACGAAGAATGCAAATGAACTTTAACTCTTCCGAAATTAAGGCTCGCATAAAAGTGTAAACTTGCTATGCAGTAAGCTGGGAATGATCTCTCAAGCAAGTAAGCCGAAGCCTATTTATTCTGTTGCTTATGCATCAGTTAAAAAAACAAATCACCAGAAATGTTGAGGAGACGACTGGCTACCGATGACTTTCTAATGGCGCCAAACAAAAGTCTGTCTTCGGGCATCGCTACTGCAAATCGAGGTTTCAAATTCCTGGTGTCCCTTGCCCTCTCAACAATATGTCTTAATTTATGCTGCGCAACAACTGACTCACGCGAACTAAAAAGGTCTAATTTCAAGCTTTAAACGGATTTTTTTCATTCTGATGCCCGATTGTTGTAATGAACGCGCAGGTAAGCACGCAATTTCCCCGACAGTTAGTAATAGAGGAGGCAGCGTAGATATTAACAACAGCCTATTTTCACAAAGGACATACGTTTTTCTTCGAAATAATTAAGTCCCAATCATGTGTAAGTTACGTGGCATATTAGTTACTAAAATGCATAAAAGTGCATAAAATGTGTGCACGTGACAGTGTGGACTTCGTTCATAATCACTTATCAGTCTTGCTAGTACCGTGTGCATTGAAAATTATTTTGTGCACTTTTTGAAAGTGCATAACAAGACTTTAGAAAGCAGTACAACAATTTACCATTTTTATGCAGTTGTTTTATTGTTGCTTCCTTGAGGTTTGAGCTAAATTGCTCGGGTTAATTCAAAAAGTCAAATTTGCCTAATGTGTTAGGAGGTCGTTCAAGATTTCGCCAGCTGCCCCATATACATGAAATTTTAATCGCAATTTTGAACTCTGTCTACTATTCAAAAAATTTACCTAAATAGCATAGTAATGTGAATCGTTATTCAGTGTAATCCCAGGAAATCTCGACTACATCAGGATGCGGGATTTTGAACTCACTTCTTTCTCACCGTCTGCAAAGACTGCACTGTAGAAACGACTTCTTAATAGGTATGAATTCATCCCATTGGTTGTCGATCCCTTTGTAAATTTAAGTATAGGTTTTTAAAAACATAAACGAAAATACTTTTTCTCACAGTCATTTAGTAGCCGAAAACATCTTTAAACCTCACACTTGAAGAAATACTACACTGTGGCTTTGAAAACGTTTTCAATTATGCTATCCTATAGACTATGCAAAACCTATTCATTCCGCATCCATTGCAAAATATCACAAGCCCTACGTAACGCCTTCTTGATACGGTACGGATTTTACACGAAAAATATACAAGCGATAATTTGAGAATTCTGAATGAAGCTGTAAAGGCAGATCAGTTTTGAAATTATTCGGAAATCAAAACAACTTTTAAACCAATAAATCTCCCCTTTGAACACAAACTTTAAACAAGGCGTAATTTACTGCCAAACTAGCACAATAAGGAATATTTTTGTTCATGTTTGCCTTAAAATATACTGTTGAATTTATAATGACAATGAAAATTATCAAAAAATTCAAACTGCTCAAGTGGTTTTTTTTGCTGGAGTGTAGCTTTTGTAGGCGGACGGTGACGGGGTTGTTCAAGAGCCAAGCTATTTGACGTGACTGAAATACCTTAAATCGTGCTGCACGACAATTAATCCCGCAAGCCAACTTAAGTAATCTTTCCGAAACCAAAAGAAACTTTAAAATTTCGGTTATCACTCAATGAGCCTGCACATCTATTGCATTTCAGCCTCTGCACCCGGGGTGCTTTCCTGCATATTCGCAAAAAGTTGCATCCAAAGTAGTCCCCTTTTATTCAAAAGTTTCGGCCATTCATCTGCTGTAAGTACACAATATCTCCGATCCTATGATTACTAATGCGAACTGGAAATGCGCCTAGTTAGTAAGATGGACTTGCGTCCTGGCAGCCCCCTCGGACATTAAATCGCCCGCACAGATGGTGAATCTAGCGGAGGATAAATGACGAGGAAGGTCAGTTAAGCAGTCAGGTTGCATTGTGACCGATAGTCAGCAGTGTCACAGGCAACCGCATATGAATGCGTATTAATGCCGAAAGGATGTCCGCAGGGGTTGCAATGTCCATTTCCGGCTTCTCAGGTGTCGTAAGCCAATCACAGTCTAGGACTCGAAGACCAGACAGATCGACCACAGTCCACGCTGAAACCTTATTGGTCAGCGACCGCCTCCACGCTGTTTGGTGTTTCAGGCTGCGGGCTCACGCCATAAAGAGGGAAACTTGGTTGCAACCCACTTTGAATCCCGCATGGCGCGGGGCTGAGGCCAGAGTTTGGTTTAGTGGTGGTGGTGGTGGTGGGCATTAGAGGGCCATGTCCGCTTTCTCTATCTTCGTTGGCCCTGCTTGTCATGGGGTTGGTGTGATACGAACAACATCAGATCACCTCTGCTGGAGAGATGGTGGGCGACAGTCAGATCAGTGTTACATAACAATATAACGCGAGTTCTCTGCCCCGTTGTCTTTTGTGCTTTGTGCACTACTCAGAAGTTCCTAAGTTATCATTCAAGCACTTATTACTGTCTTTATATAAATGCGATCTTTCTTGTTTGCCGTTTTCCTGATTCTGAAATGAGATCAAAGTCGATAAAACACCCTTCTGGCATTTAGTAACTGACGGATACGTATACGTCTCGGTCGACTCGGAGTAATGCCTGTCACCTCTAGCTGCCCCGCCACTGAGTAATGTTCGGCATCGATTAACGGTGACTGGGGTGTGAGTGTATAACCAAAGCACGAACCAAAAATTGTAAGTGTTTTCAGCATTTACTACTCCCTAGTTGCATACTATGAATAAAGTGTATAACATTGGGCAATTCTTCCTATCCGTCTTTCTCGCCGTTGTCCGTAGTTCTTCTGCAATGAATGTTTTTTCCGCCATCGTAGTGATAAGTTATGCCTAAAATCTGATCACTAGTGACACGGAGGACAGTTGAGTCAGTGTTCCATAACAGGATAAGTCGAGCTTATTATCCCATTGTCGTTACAGCATGATCTACTACGGGATTTAATAGGTTACACGTTCATAATTTGATCTGTGGCCCGTTGCCGAACACTACTCACTATTGGTTTACGCTTATGCGAGGGTAGGGCTGAAAGAAGGACTTAAGAATGAACCAGAAAATCGGGATTCAGCAAATGCCCTCAGCGTTTATTACTTCCTACTTGTCTCTTGTAAGAAAGTGTGCACAGTAGTAGAGAAATCATCATAAACAGTTACATAGGAAGAAGCATAGTTATCGTCTCAGAGGGGATATGAGGTGTACTCCTAGGCGTGCACACGATTACATTTGCCAAGGAGATCTTATGAGGTCTGTCGTATATGATCAGTTCATGATTTAAAACACACTCAACCTGAGCTTAAAACGTTCAAAAATAACAGACTCACAATATCACCAGTACGAATTTTTGTGATTATTGATCGCGATGAAGGGTGTGTAATAGGGTATTGATCGGGGCTTTACGGGCCGGCCAATTAATGTCCTATCCGACTCACTGTCGTAGCCGACTGAGTAAGCTTCTTCCCCTTGCTCGCTATAATATGCGTCATCATAATTCCTTCGCGGATAATGTCTGAAACCTTCCTCAGTGTAGACAGTAGAAGCCGGTGTAACTGATCCACCACGCATATAGTATGGTCTGGCGCTTCCAACGTGAGAATGCCGTCCATGGGAGTGAACATAAGAGGTGCGGTACCGTGGGTTTTGTGTTTGGACGTCGAATTCACTGTTAAAATCATCTCCTCCTCCTCCTACTCCTCCTCCCCCAGTAATCTCCTCCTGGGAGTCGTCGTAATACGCGTAGGATCGTAGCCTTGAAGAGCGGGGCCGTTCATTCGTCTCAACGTAGGACTGCACCATGTCTGAAAATTCGTCTACGCCGGACATTCTGACGGAAGGTTTGTATCCATCACGCGCAATTGATAAGTGCTGATTGTACTGCACGTTTGAGACACTATTCGTTTCACGTCTGGACTCGCCTTGCGATTCAGAAGCTCTGAAAACCTCGGAGGCGGAGAAACCCCGGCCTTGATCATTCCTAACTGTCATTGAAGGCGGTTTCTTCAAGCTGGGCTTTTCTGACACGATGGACGATGATTGTTGAACCGTCTGTACTGCCTCGGTAGGTGAGGCATTGCCGCCCCCTCCATTTTGTGCCTTTCTTTCAAAATAATCTTTGGCAGATTGAAAATCACCACTGTTGAGGATAGACATCTGGTGACATTCGTTCTTCCCCTTGTTGTTGACAAACACTCGCAGCAGGTCTTTGTGCTTTTCATCCGTTTTCACCGCCGTTACGTCCGAAAGACGAATAAGGCGTTTCACATCCTGCTTGCCCTTCTTCTTCGTCTTGGCGACCTCCACGTAGTCGGGGTAGAAGGAGAGCAGTCGCTCACTTTCCTTGCTGAGTTTGCTATAGTCATCCTTCTTGATAACCTTTGGTTTAAATGTGGTGGCTGATTCCACGCGAAAGATGGGATTTTCCTGCGTCATGTGAAACGCGATCGACGTGACTCCGATGACTACTTTGGCGCTCTTAGGTGTTAAATGACTCCTACCACGAGAATGCTGCGCCGCCTACTTAAACCAGTGCTGGTATTGGGCGCCTGTTTCTGTATTAACTCACCTGTGAGCGAATGAGTCAATAAAGATGCGCGTTAGCTGCTGTAGTCTAGCGTTGCGAGCCGCGCGCTTATTTGGTTTCATTGAACTTGATGAAGTCAGACGTGTGAGAACTCTTTGGTTGGCAGAGCTGCATGACATCATCTCAGGCGTGCATATTTACCTGTAAAAGGAAAGTGGTGTCTAGGACTCCATTTTACTTGCAGACACCTCCCGGTCCTGAAAAATAGCCTTACACACATATGTCCATGTCCATACGTTGCAAACATCTGTAAGCTGCAAACGACTGAAAGTTGGTTAACCCCTGAGCAGCGTTTTTGTGGCAGAGCAGAAGTAAATATTGGACAAGTTCTCGCTCATTAAAATGCAAAGATGCACATAAATTAAGAGGACAAATCAGCAAAACATCCGTCTGGGCTTTTAGCTTGTTGGACATTTTTCAGCTTACCCAATGCCGTCAACACACTACCGCGTTTCATGTCTGAGTAGAACGCAGCTATTCCATTACATTTAAAAGAATTTGCCGCAAGAGATGGAAGAAGGTCAAATATATCCTCTAAGTACGACCGTTCACAAGTCTGTCGATAATCTCTTGACCACTCAACGGTAGTATTTTTAACAGTGTCTGGGCAATTATCCTTAAAGGAATTTGGAGCTAAAAACATGCTCTCTTTTAGAGGAAAGCCTTTTGTGGCAGTAAGACCTGCCTTTGTGAAGCACGTGTAATTTTCAAGGTAACGCCTCAGTTGAGCCGTGACGTCTCCTACTTATATCTTTGCAGTCAAATGAACCTATTATTCAGTTCTTTTTCACGAGATGGATGAACGCTGAGGACAAAGCAAGTCAGTGTACTGCCGTAGAGGAAAAAGGTGTAGTAGTAGTAGTAGTAATAATAATAATAATAATAGTAGTAGTAATAGTAGTAGTAGTAGTAGTAGTAGTAGTAGTAATTGTGTAAAGAATTTAGAACTGCAAAAGTCTTCTAAACGGCTTCGGTGTTGCTTTTCCACAGAAAATAAGTAAAAAGTAAGGACATGAAAGCTGAAAAGGGATGTTTAATTGATGCCAAAATGCGGGTCCTTAAAGTCGAACGAGTGGTGTTTCCTTTTCCGCATTGCCACTTGCCTACATGGCGATCCCCAAGCAGCTTAGAACTCCTAAATAGTAGGCTCCTGTGAATGAACAAACAAAAATAACAGCAGCGGCGGCTTCCCAGTACACTTTTCATTGTCCGAGAACACGTAGGACTAAAGACCAAAGTGTTCAGAAGAGCGACAAATACGATGCAAGAACTGAACTTCAACAGCAACCACCCAATCAGCTACAAACTTAGTTGTGTAAGGATGCTCTATCGGCATGTCGAAATGCACTGCAGTGAGACGGAAGACGAGATTGCCGAACTACAATACCTCCAACGGGTCTTCAAAGCCAATGGATACCCGCGCAATTTCGTCAACTGGTGCATAAACAAAAATGGACGAAAGGCCTAACGGCACGGATACCAAATATAAACGGGCGCTTCCGTATGTCAAGAGCGTTTTGGAGGCTGTCGGCTGCCTTACTCGCAACGCTTGGGGTTGGAGTTGCACACAGACCGGCGGTAAACATCAGGCATCAGGTAATGAAACCGGAAGACCAACTGCCACGGCTAAAAACGTCTGAAGTCGTTTATCTGCTCTGGTGCAGTTGCGGACAAAGCACCTATGTCGGACAAACCGCAAGACAGCTTCGGACGAGGGTGGCTGAACACGCTGTAGCGGTGCGGAGAAATGTCGCCAGATTTCAAGTTTGCGGCTCATTCGACGAGATACGGCCATATTATAATTTGACGAGGCCGAAATTCTCGCTAAAGGTGACAATCGCGTGAGCCGGGACTTACTTGAATCATGGTTTACTGGCCCCAAGTCAATTAACAAATGCAATGAACTTCCCTTTCCATACTCGGTGCTGAAACTTCGCCTAGGCGGAGTAATTAACCACGCGGGAGGCGCACAGGTGAACACTTTTCCCAACATCAGGATCGGTGGGTCAGATGGTTGAGCAGTCATCACATCAACACCCAACGCACGTGATGAAATTGTAGCAATTAACGACGCGAATGTCGGCCATCAAACACTTAGCACACCAATTGCGACGATCCCGGATGAAGAGGGGAGCTGTGAATGTTCACAGGTATGCAGTAGCATGGCGACTGCATCCTATAAATACTGCCGCTTCTTGTGCATGAACCACTAGTATCTGCTTTTGTCTTTGATGCTGGATTTGAGCAGGAATCCGAAGCGCCAGGTTAATAAGGCTCTTGTCCCAGCGATCTTGTCTCCTTCAAAACTACTTCCTGGGACTCGTCTCGTAGGCGATAATTATCTAAGCGCTAATTGTCTAGACATTTCTGGGTTCTTTGCAATGATTTACCGTACTAACAACACAGGTATTAGTTAAAAGCCCAGACACGTGTGTTTCGCCGATCTTATGCCGCTGCCTGACGCAGCTGCAAGGGTTTCGGCTCGTCAGTGGGTCCCCCAGCTTTCCCCGTGTGGTTTCTGGTATATGAACTCCAGTTTAAACTTGTCTTGTTTAATTTCCGAGGAAATTAATGCGCGAACTTGGAGTAAATCTTTCGAAACGGGCTTTTTCAGGCACGCTCCAATTATACCAATTCAAAACAAAGCGGGCAGCCTCCTACAAGTGATATCATTTTAATCCGATCAGGGCATCGAGGATTTCAACACGCAAGGCAGGAATTAAACAGCCGTCGTAAAAAATCACTCCATCGATAGCCAGCCCAAATTGCGGGGGATCGAATTTTTGGTCAAACTGTTTAACTTCAGAATGCGTTACTCAGCCCTTCATGTAGTCACATGCGCAGTCTAGCCGTCCTCTTGTCACTTCGCATGACAATACTTCGGACTAGGTTGGTTTTAGGTTGCATCTCTTCTGATGTGTAGCCTTTTCAACATGAGACCGACTTACAGCAAAAATTGGATGCAAGCGAAAGAGCAGGTTTTGGTGACGATATCGTATGCCGCCCCACCTAGACGTTACAGGACTTTTAAGGCGTAACTTGTTAACACGTGATCTACTTGAACAAAAAAGTGGAGAGGGAGAGATAAGAAGACACGCATCATCTCGAAAGTGTCATTTCAAAATTTTCAGCAAAAGCGTCCTCCGCCTAAATACAAATTACCAGATTATGAAAGAGTTGATGGATTTGCATAGAACCTGTACAAATCTACTATGGAAAGATTTTGGTTCCAGTTTTTCTATTTCGGTCTATTTACGCGTTTGGGGGTCGCAGCAGGTATGTTATTACTGAGCGCGGGTATACCGACGGACGGCAGGAAATATGCCGAAACCCACCGCGCAGGGGACGCAAAGACTTCGCAGCCACTAAGTCAGGGCGAGGAAGATGGACAACAGTAGAAATTTGGTTGACTTTTGTGGAATATTGTTGTAGTAAACTAGCAGCCAAAATAGACATAAAAGACTAGCGGCATAAAAAGGCATTTGGAGGACACGCTATAAAATGAGCACTTCTTTTTTAAGCAATGCCGGAAAACAACTTAGAGGACAATAAGGAATGTGATGGAAGATACAGACCTCTATGAGTCCCCGGGTTAGTACCTGAATTGAGCGGCAGGAATGCTAACGACGAATGTAATAAACTAATTTAAGAATTCGAGGGAAAAGGATTTCAGTATGAAAGGAGAACGAAAAATGTGAGGACAGAGTAAGACCAAGGTGCCGGAAAGATGATCCTTCCTTGGGAAGCATGTCCAAGGATTCAGGAACCGGAGAGGCTAGCAGTTAAAACAGACCCTGGAATGATTTCTGACTTTTAAGTAGC